ATATATTAATCTTGTAATAAATAAAGTATAAGGTTGATTTTTTAAACTTGTAAAAATCTAAGGATTGAAATTTAAAACTTTTTCAAAATTAAACTTTTAATCAAAATTTAAATTTCAAGACTTGAGGGCAAGTTTTGAACTTTTCAAAACACAAAGGATCAAATAACAAATAATATAAATTAAACAATTAATTTAGTGATTATCTATATTTGACCTAATTTAATTTTATTCACTAGATAATTACCAAATAATCAAATAATCAAATTTTTATCTTATAAGGAATCTATTATTCAAATAATTTGAAATTATCTTTTGTTTTGGCAAGAATAATCAGATAATATCAAGGAAATTCGTATTTTATCTTATAAAAACGATTTGGCTAATTATTTCTCAGCAAAACAGAATAAAATCCCGAAAATCCCTCTGTTCAGCACCCGAACTCGCCGAGTTGGGCTGACTCGCCGAGTCCAGATACTGACTCGCTGAGTCTGGTCGGGCAGAGGGCAAAAAAGTTATTTTCAGCAAATAATCGATCATAGCATCACATACAACAGAAACCAATCAAGGCTCTGATACCACTGATGGGTTTTATGCATAAGAACAGTCCTATGTGCTCATACAAACCCTAATGCTTGCATCTAGGTTTCTCTATTGTACATGCAATGTATCCAAGACTTACAAACCCTAATCTAGCATACATAATTTCGAAATTAGCTAATTACATCAGATCTAGATGTTTACCTCTTCAAATAATGCTTGAATCTTCTTCTCTTGAGCTTAGAGTCACAATTGTAACCCCTCTAATGGATCACAAACACCACAAGCAAGAAGGCAACTATGAGAGAGGAGGGAGGATGCTAATTTTCGGCCCTAGGGTTTCTCTTGGAAGCAAGTGGCTGAAAATTGGAGCCTTGGGGTCTTATTTATAGTGCAGGCTGCTAGGGTTTCAGGTAAAACCCTAATGGACTGCTTAGGCCTTAAGCAGCTCAGGAAGCTTCTGGAATAGGGCTTCTTTGGCCGAAATTAGGATGGACACCTCCCTAATTTCGTCCATGCCTTGTCCAAGAGGCTGTTCAGCCCAAAACTCAACTATCACACATTTGACAGTTTATGCCCCTTATTTAATTAATCTCATTTAGTCACCAAATTAATTCCTAATTAATTTATGACTAATAATAATTAAATAAATATGATTTCTCCTTTAATATATTATTCTTATAATATATTAATAAACCATAATATCCTCTCTCCCTCTCCTTAAATTACCTTGTCTAGTTGCTTTGGTGAAGGCAACCCAAAAGGACCATGCACAACCGGGTCAAGTACATACCAAATATAGTTACGGACTTAGACACTAATCCAACACATGTTCTATGATAAACATGGTTAATGTATCTTTTAGTTGATTAACTTGTGTATGTTTATGTTGTGTTTGATTTGATTCTATTGTGTATGTTAATGTGGTGATTGATTAATTAGCCATAGTTGATTCCGGTCATGCATGATTCCAACCATAGTTGATTCCGGTCATGCATGATGCATGATTCCAGTCATAAATGATCCCAATCATTATTGATTCCATTGTTTATTAATGATTCCATTCCGTTCATGCATGATTCCAACCATTGTTTATTGATTCAATTCATAAATGATTCCAATCATTATTGATTCCATTGTTTATTAATGATTCCATTCCAGTCATGCATGATTCCAACCATTGTTTATTGATTCAAGTCATAAATGATTCCAATCATTATTGATTCCATTGTTTATTAATGATTCCATTCCGGTCATGCATGATTCCAACCATTGTTTATTGATTCAATTCATAAATGATTCCAATCATTATTGATTCCATTGTTTATTAATGATTCCATTCCGGTCATGCATGATTCCAACCATTGTTTATTTATTCAACTCATAAATGATTCCAATCATTATTGATTCCATTGTTTATTAATGATTCCATTCCGGTCATGCATGATTCCAACCATTGTTTATTGATTCAATTCATTAATCCAAAGGTTCCATTCATGTTTCATTCCATTGATTGTTTATCCATTCTATTCACTCATGATTACATTGGAAGCACTTATACATAAACTTGTTAATTCACACATAAACATAAACTTGTTAATTCATTTCACTTGACAAAAGGAGACAACATAATACATACTACACACACCAACTAAGACACCAAAACATTACTTTTCATACATCTTCTATCTATCCTACAAATCCTTCAACATCACCAACACAAAAACAAAAGAAACCCTCAACACATAAAAAAAAAGATTTCCATTTTCCACCTTCTTGTCCATTCTAGACTTGAATGGCCACTCCGTCCACGGGTTGATTTACCACTGGTGGTTGTGCCACTGGTTGTTCCACAATGTCCTCAAAAAAGTTCCCTTCAACTTGTTGTTGTCGAAAGTCCCCGGAAATTGCATTGTTCTCCAAATTAACATTGTTGTGAAATTCTAGTAAGAGATTTGCATACCACTGATTTGGTAGAGGAGGATCCACCCACTGGAAGAATTTGCAGTCTTTGAGTACATCCTGGTAAATTGGGCAACCTATAAACCTTCTTCCTGGGTTAAACGGAGTCCACGAAGTCCATTTTCCAACGGCATCACCGCAATAGCACCTGCTTCTCAGTCGATTCACCACTCTTCGATTTGAACTTCTGCTTCCTACAGAAGATGAAGACGACATTTGTGGCTCCTCCTCCTGCTTCGATTTTTTCCTGGTCCGATTTTAGGGCACAGACGAATGAATGATGTATATATTTAAGTTTCGTTAAGTGACTCACCATCCACCTAAGCATGCCCAGTCCACGTAGGCTTTTGTAACCGGCAAAATGAGGGTCACCGGATGATAAGGGCTAAATTGTCCGGTTTATCCGGTTTATTGGGCTTTTTCATTCAATTTTTTTTAGGACTTTATTGAAACTTTTGCAAAAATATAGGGACTTTACTGTAGTTATCCCTATAACAAACTTACAAATTAAAAACTTTAACATAGCATGGCTCGAAAAATGGTCCAAAGCCCTTAAACCAACACAAAACCTTTAAACTTGTTTTCTTTGTGAATTTTTTATGTGATTTGTATTTGTGTGTCTACTCAAAGAGATTGACATTTTTATAGTAGACTATCCATTAATTGCTTATTAAACATATTATATAAGTTATAAAACCTTTCATGATGTGTGATTAATTACTTTGAAGGTGAAAATGTATGGGGGTTTCAAATGCATGAGGTGCTTGGAAATTTGTGTGGAAGTTTCAAATGTATAAAGTGATAGGAAAAATGTCTCCTTAATAAGTATAGTATGATATGATAAGATAAGATAAGATAATATTGGTTTTATGGAGTAGAAAGTTAAAATTCCAAGGCCAGAATCCGAAATGTTGAAGTCATATATGGAAGGTGAAAAACAAGTCCGAAAATAAACTTTACTATGAATATGAAACCTTAGATAGCTATTTATTTTCCATTAGTTACCATTTGATAACTTAGAGAACTAGTAATATATATGGTCTTCTTTGTTCTCTTTAGCAAACATTTCCACAACATTTTGATACTGTTCTCTTAATTTTGGAAAGCAAAAAACTTTTCATAATGTGACTTCGCTTAAATTCGGCCCGGTTTGAAAATATAATTATGCTTGAAAAATATTAATTCTCATAAAAACTTTAGCAAAATATATTTTAAAACTTCCAAAATTGTTTATCAAAACAATAGCGACATGTCCAATCAACAGACAATACATCAGTAAAACATAAAGTACTAAATTCAAATTTATTGACATGCAAAAGTGTGCAGGGACGTCACATTGTTTTTGAAAGTAAGTTACTATTTGTTTTTAAACATTGTATTTATATTAAATCTTTGATTTTTTTTTTAAATTTTATATTAAGGCATTAAAGAAAATATGAAAATTACCTTATGGGTTTTAAATAAAATTTTGAAAATTTATAAACACGTTAAATTACTTTTTAGTTAGTTTGTTTGTTTGTTTTATCTTGACTTAGTTTCAAGATAAACCCATTTCAGCTCTATCTCCTACAAACCATTGTCACTACTGGAAAATGGGTATAATATAATACACCCATATCTAATACGGTTATAAATATAAACCGTATTATAAAAGGCTAAATTAATCTAATACAAACAATTACAACATCTAATACTGTTAATTAGACGTACTAGAAACTAAGGTGCTATTTGTTTTTTGGAAAAAACCTCTTCAGACCTCTTATTGCTGCGCGTGTGCTCCGCACAACACTTTTCATCTCGCAGCTGTTTGTTTTTCAGAAGTCTCCGGATTAAAAAACCTCTGCGCGTGTTCTTCTTGGCGCAACACTTGTTTTGCCTCTTCCTACCTCTTCCAACCTCTTCTTCTTCTTTTTTTATTGCTAAAATATTAATTATATATTGCTAAAATCTTATTTCACATTCTTTTTTCGTTTTTTTGTTTATTCTTGTTGAAATAACCTTAATTTTATGCTAAAATATCTTTATTTTTTGTTAAAATATTATTATATTTTGTTGAAATATCATAAATTTTTGCCGAAATGTCATACATTATTAAATTTTCGGTATTAAAAAACTATTTTCGGATTATAAAATCATTTTATTTTAATTTTTTAATATCTGCAGCAGCACGCAGATGTTAAAAAAACAAACATGCTTCTTATTTCAGTCTGCAGCCGTTTGATCCACCTCTTCTGCAGAGGGTTGTAGAGGTGGTCCGCAGACTTTATGGATTTTTGCTTAAAAAAACAAATAGCACTTAAGTCAAATATACTCCATTTTGAATCAAGTACGGCTTAATTCCTAAATCAAATACGCTCATACCCTAATGACAAAAAAACATAAACCTTATATGGATGAAAATATCAGTAATAGAAAATTAGATCAAATCAATACACTTCATCAAACCACAAACCACAAGATTTAAAATGTGATTTACCTTAAAATATGAGTGACAGATACAAGACACGTAGACCATTGCACATATAAAAGGATGCAAACCAATATCTCCGAACGTTTCACCGTCGTTCTCCTCCACCATCTGCAAGCCCTAAACCTTCCCCAATCTCCAATTCATCGTCTCTAAATCCAATTTCTACTAGCTAGGGTTTTTATGTCAGCCGAGAGTTTCAAGGATCTGGTAAAAGACAAGTTCGACGACAATCAACAATACCGATAACTCCTCGTACCGATTCCATACGCGACGATCGGAACGCAAACCGAAACCCTATTAGTACTGCTTCATCATCGCGATCTGAGTGGTCTACGATCGATGAATCATTGGGGCTGTCGGAGCAAGATTCCTGTTGGTTACGCTCGTATGTTTTTCATATTTGGATTATTTTGCTACCAATGTCGTGGGCCGTCAATTCCTACTACTTCTGACCTGTCCTTCGTGACTCTCACTCTCTCCCCCGAATCTGCCCCTGTACGTCGATTTCATTTTCAATTTGGGGGAATCCTCACATACTATAAGCACATTTTGATTTATTCTCTTTACAGTAAGTTGAATCTCGTTCTTCATTTTGATTTATGAACATTTGACGCGAGAAACATCATTTGCAATGGCACAAAATTGTTTTGCCAGTGTCTCTATTCCAGATTTACATTTTGAATTCAGAAAGTATCTTAAGAAATTGTTATACTTCAAGTAGAAAAAGTGAGATAATGTGAATGCTAACTAGGTTTGACATAAAAAACATCAAATTTCAGCATTTTCGTGGTTGCTGCATTAGCACTAGAACTAGAATTAGAATAAATATTATAGAGGAATCCAGAAGAAATGGATCTGAGGTAAAATGGGGATATATCCAAGGTAGATCCTCACAGGGGTGTACTTACAGTCACAATGTTTGTAATGCTTGGAAACATGATTAAGCATGATCACTTTGATGCTCCCATTTCTCATCATATATGTTTTTTTCTTCACTCTTGCTTGCTTAATCACTATATACATATTCGGAAGCAATCATGGAATCCATTCCTTATACATTCTGATCCATTATTTGCTAACTCGCTTCAGTATATCTCTAACATCCTTCTGCTATTGGATCTAAAAATATTCATATTATAGTGCACTCCTTTTCTCATTCATGATAATTGAGGGGATTATTTTTTTGTTATAGGTGAACCACGCCGGATTGACTCAACATTTTGATGACAATAATGATTCGGAGTAGAGCTTTGCATCAAATTATGCAGAAGAGGCAGAAGAATCCAAAGGATTTGTCACTTTCTCCTTGAATAATGGACAAGAATATCATGTCTCCCAGGCATGTTGACTTCATCTTGTTGCTTTTTCTCCTTTCTGGATCTCTGTTTAGTCTGATGTTTGACCATGGCAGATTGTCAAACTTAGATTGCTGATACCTAAACAACTTCAAAGATTCATGTATGTAGCTCATAAGTCATAACATATGTTTTTGTACCACCTCTTAAAAGAATTTCATTGTTTTCTTCATAACTGTTTTAGGAATTAATCTTTCTGTTGGGTGATTTCTCAGGTTCTTGGATGCAAAAACGAGAATAAATTGTCTGAGTTGAGATTATCGATTCCAGGTAATCATATATGTTTTATAATTATTATATAACATAAATGTTTAAAAAAATATTTCATTTAACATATTCTTTTTTACAGTAAATTGCCTAAATTTTTGGGTGGCATGTGTACTTGTGCAGATCAAGGGGGGTGTCTTCTATCTGATAAAGGGCCATGGAAGAATCATGAAATCATGAAGGTTTTATATTTTTTATTTTTACTGTGTTTTATATATTCCTAGAGTTTTGTTTTAACAGTGAAGCAAAACGTGCAAGACAGGTGGTTGAAGTTTTAAACAATGAAGGAAAGTTTGTTGCTTATGCTAAGCCTCAATTACCCATGGTTAGTGTTTTTTAATCTTGTTAATGTTATTTTCCTAGAAAATGTTGAAAATTTTATTTTAGTTTTTTAATTTTTTTGAGCAGCTAAGAAGAAGTGATAGTCAGGATTAGAATCTGAAGATATTGCATCCCCGAAAGCAATAAGGAATTATTCCCATCTTAGGTTGACTCCTGTTTGTGAAGAAGTAAGTGGTGAAATTTGAATTATAGATTATTTAATTATGCGTGTTATTATTTATTAAATGGGTTGTGTTTTTTTGGAAGTGAACTTGGTGACTACTTACTCTTCATGTTCTCATATTCCACATTTCCACTTACTATTTGGCTATTTGTTAGCAACTTTGTTGTAATTGACTCGATGCATCTTCCAGGTTATATGACATTGAAAAGTTTGTAAATAGCCTAAATGCTAGCAACATACTTCGCATATGTCAACATGAAAAAGAGCAAGACCAAGATCGAACAAGATAACTCAATCGGATGCTTGGCCACTTATTGAACAGTTGAGCTTCAACCAGATGTTCAGGAAGTGGTTGACTCAATGGTTGACCGACTTAAACCAGATGGACAATTTGTAGCAGTTGACTTGATAAGAAAACTTGGTTTTGTTAAGGATACTGCTATTTTTTTTGACTCAACCAAGAGATTGAGATGCCTTCTCTTTCACCCACAATAACAGAGGCCAGTGTTATTCTAAATTCAAGGGTATCTCAATACACTTCTTTACATTGCTATGTTTACTGAAAGTTTTCCTTTGATTCCTTCATCCAGGCTAACATAGCAAGATGTTTAAAGAAAGAAGGAGATCAAGTTGCACCTGGTGAAGTACTCTGTGAAGAAACAGTATGTCTCCTTTATCTTCAACTCTGTCTTTACTCTTTAAGTTTAGCTTTATTGACTTGGTATTCGTTACAGGATAAAGGCACTGTAGAAATGGAATGTATGGAAGAAGGATATCTAGCTAAGATTATACATGGAGATGGAGCAAAAGAAATCCAAGTTGGCGAGGTAACATTTCATATCTTACTTTGATGTCAATTCTTTTGAGTGATCAGATTATAGTACTAAAACTAAGTTTATATTTGCTTCAGGTGATTGCTATAAATGTTGAGGATAAGGCTGATCTTGATAAATTTAAATATTTCATATATTTATCTTTTATTCACGAATAAAAGATAAATATATGAAAGTTTTTTTCTTTTTTATGGAAAATGAGATATATAAAAGTAGGATGCTTTATTTTGTGTTTTATTGTGGAAGTTTGCAGATTTCTGTTATGGAGGCTTTGCATAAAAGTTTTTATAAGGTACACAGACATCCCTTGTATTTCATGTTGTATTTGCTCATATGTTTTTATGTTCTTGAGAAGTTTTCACCCTTGCATTGCTATAGATGAATGTATAGACCTTTTCTATACTTATGAAGTTGTTAATAGCAAGAAGGTCTTATAACTTGAGTTTTCATCATTAAAAATTATTTGGGATTTTGAATCCTAAGTTTTCTTGTTTTTGTAGGCATGCAATGAATCAGCCACAAAGGGGGAAAGAGTGACATTCAACAAATTTAAGAATGTTTTTATGTTTAATGAACTAGGTATAGTCTTTTACATTGCATAGACTGTGGATAAGTCTGAAAGAATATTAATGTTTTTATGTTTAATGAACTAAGTAGTTCATTATAATTTTTTCTCTGTTCTGAAAATGAAAACAGGATCAATTTTGTCGCACTTTAATTTTCTTATGGTTAGAATGGAATCATATTTAATAGGGAGGGAATGGAATCATATAGTAGGTTTGTATTTTGTAGAGATTGATCCTTCAGTCACAACTCACATGGAAAACTCACATGCTTTGCAGAAATTGTAGAGTTCGTTTAAGTTGGAATCGTGATCCATGTGTTCCACAGCAGCATCCATGGAGTGGAATTGGGTGATGAATAAGGCTGGAATGCAAAGCCAAATGGGCTGGAATGCAATCAAGAATGGGGACATCAAGTACGGTTGTGTATGGTGTATTAGATGTGTATATATGGTGTATTAGATGATTGTATGCGATGGTTGTAAAAGTAGATAGGATACATATAGAGTACTCTATTAGGCATGTAATCTAATACACCCCTCTACTAATACGCCCTCTATGTTTGTACTATACTCATACTTTCAACCGTATTACATTAACCTTTTTCTAGTAGTGTGTACACTTTGTTATTTTTGATATTGATGCTCCAGCACCTATATAAAAATGAATAAAAAACTTGTCCTCTAATTATCGTACTAATAGTTGTCCCAAAACCATAAAGCTTATGCCTCCAAGATATGCATCTGAATTGTGCCTAAAAAGATTCAGGAATTCCTAGACGAGCAAGAGTGGAAATTAATTATCAGTGAAAGATTAAGAACATGTACTCTACTTATCTTACTAATAGTTGTCCCAAATTCATAATCAGTTTGATAATTTAATCAGAGTACTGTTACTGTTACACAGAGAGATATCAATCTACAAATCACCTTGAGGATGGAGGGTTGTGGTTTTCTGGATGTAAAGCTTTGGTTTTATTTAGTTTCCTTAATTAGTTCCTATTTGTAATTAGGAACTAATAGCAGCACAATTGGAAGATTGATCCATACGCAACTCTTCAAGAACAATTACGAAATATGAAAATGATGAGCAATATTATAAGTAATTAAATTAGTACTAATGTAACATGAAGAACATATACATTGTTAGTTTCAACAGTTTCAACTGTAAGGGTAAAATTGACTTTTTTACTGTAGCAAGGGCATATGGGTCATTTTGATCATTTGGTTGTTTTGAAAGTTGTTAGTTAGCTGGTGATTATTTATACAGTATGTATTGTATCGATTTGGATATATGAACGAATTCAGAAATGAGAAATATGTTGAATTCTCTCAATTCTCTTTCAATTTAACATGATATCAGTCTGATCCTTCGTTCTTCTTGCGCTGATTTCACTGTTCTTCATTCAAATCGTTTCAATTTCTTTTGTTTCAATGTCTTCATCATCATCGATTCCTTCTCAATCGTCAACTGTTGACATCACAAGTCCTTATTACCTTGGATCTTCTGGGTAATCCGAGTCAAGTTCTTGTTACTACAGTCTTTAATGGCGTCGGTTTTTCTGCCTGGAAGAGATCGATGATCATCTCTCTTTCAGCTAAGAACAAATTGTCATTTGTTGATGGCACGATTACTGACCACCTGTCAATTCTCCAACTTATTCTGGATGGCATCGTGTTAACTCAATGGTAATTAGCTGGATCCTCAATTCTTTACACAAGAACATCGCTGAAAGCGTTCTTTTCTTACCAACTGCACACGAGATTTGGCAAGAATTAAAACAGAGGTATGATCAGTCCAATAATGCATTGATCTATCAAATTCAACAACTTTATTCTGTTGCTCAAAATTCGGATGACTTTTCCACTTATTTCACGAAATTGACTAAGATTTGGGATGAATTACATGTCGTTCAAGATATTCCTTCTTGTACTTGTGGCTCTTCTGCTAAAATACAGAAATTCCTTGAAGATCAACGCCTAATCCAACTTCTCATGGGACTTAATGAATCATACAAGATCATTCGAGGACAAATCCTGATGATGCAGCCTTTGCCATCTCTTTCTACTGCATATTCATTGATCATCCAAGAAGAACGACAACGCAATATTACTGCTTCATCTTTTGTCAACACTGAGGCTATTGCTATGCATGTGTCTTCTGATCCATCCCCAAATTCAGTCAAGAAAACTCTAACCTGCACTCACTGTAAAAAGACTGGTCATAGCAAGAGTCAATGTTATCGATTAGTTGGTTTTCCGTCCAACTTCAAGTTTACTAAAGCAAAGAAAGAGGAATCCAAGTCCAGTGTTCATAATGCTACCTCTTTTCCATTTACTTCAGAGCAATATCAGCAGTTACTTCAATTGTTCAACAATAATACTTCTCAATCTTCAACAAGTCATGTCAACACATCTATTGCTGATAATGCCATGAATCCAGAGGGTAATTCTTTTTCATTTAAATCCTTTGCTGCAAATGTTTACAAATCATCATTTCTTCTTCACAAACATCATTCATGGATTGTTGATTCTAGAGCAACTGATCATACGTGCTCTAATAAATCTTTTTTTGTTTCTATGACCCAATTACTCAGACTCACACGATTGGTCTGCCTAAGGGTCAACATACATCTGTTTCATATATTGGAGATGTCAAATTACATGATTCCATTATGTTACATGGAGTATTGTATATTCCAGAATTCAAGTATAATCTTGTTTCTATTTCAAAATTGACGTCTCAACTCAATACCTTTGCTATTTTTACTGATGAAGCCTGCCTTCTGCAGGACCCTTCATTGAAGAATAGCTTCTCTCTTGGAGTTCTTGCAGAAAGAATCAATGATTTGTATATCTTTGATCATAGTTATCTTCAGAATAATCTTTCTTACAGTTTTTCTGTATTTTCATCTTTTTCTAGTTCTAAATCTTTTGTTTCCATTTCTGTAATGAATTCATCTTCTCAATTGTGGCATAATCGTTTAGGCCATATTCCATATCATAAGATGAAAATGATGTCAATAAAATCTGATCATTCTGATCATTCGTCTATTCAAAGTTGTATGATTTGTTCTAAAGCTAAGCAGCAAAGGTCATCATTTTCTACAAGTGTATCTGTTTCTAATGCACCATTTGAACTTATACACATTGATGTTTGGGGCCCTTATAAACACGCAACTTATGATGGTATCAAATACTTTCTAACCATTGTTGATGATTACAGCAGACATACATGAATTCACTTGTTGACACACAAAAGTTATGCTTTTTCTTTGATTAAAGCATTTGTTTCATTGATTCAAAACTCAATTTCAAGTTGCTGTCAAAATCATTCGGACAGACAATGCTTTTGAACTTGGGTCTAGTACAGAAGGTGTTGCTTATTTTCAGTCTAAGGGCATAGTTCATCAGAAATCAACACCCTACACCCCACAACAAAATGGAATAGTGGAAAGGAAACATAAACACATTTTGGAGACTGCTAGAGCATTATATTTTCAATATGGACTTGGAATTGCTTATTGGGGTGAATGTGTCAAAACTGCTATTCATTTGATTAATAGAATCCCTTCAAAAGTTCTTCACAACAAATCCCCTTTTGAAGTTCTTTATAACAAGTCACCAAATTTACACCTTTTAAAAGCATTTGGGTGTTTGTGTTATGTTTCAACAAGTTTACAAGGAAGGGATAAGTTTATGCCCAGGTCAAATTCTTGTATTTTTCTGGGATATCCTTATGGTCAAAAGGCATACAAAGTAATGGATTTAATCACAAAGCAGATTATCATTTCAAGAAATGTCAAATTTTTTCAAAACATCTTTCCATTACATTCTTCATCTATTCCTTTACCTTCTTCTCCACCTTCATATTTACCAATATCTTCTGTTGATTCACATATTTCAGAAAACTCTTCATCTGTTCATACATCTTCTGATTCTCAGTCATCAACTTTGCCACGAAGAAGCACACGCACTAGACAACCATCTACACGATTACATGATTACATTTGTAATCATGTTAATTCCCAAGATAAATAAGATGTTTGTACTCATACTCTCACTAATCTTTGTATTTCCACTCCATCATTTCATAATACTTCCGAGATTCCAATTACTTCATTTGCTTTTCATGTGACCTCTAATTTCAAAGAACCAGCCTTTTATCATGAAGCAATAGGAATCCCAGAATGGGAAGAAGCAATGACTAAAGAACTCAATGCTCTCGATGCCAATAACACTTGGGAACTTGTCAAACTTCCTAAGGGTAAAAAACCAATTGCTTGTCGATGGGTTTACAAGATCAAGTACAAAACAGATGGTACAATTAAAAGGTATAAAGCCCGATTAGTAGCTAAAGGATTTACACAACAAGTGGGAGTAGATTTTCATGAAACATTTTCTCCTGTTGTGAAATTCAACACTATTCGATGCCTTGTATCTCTAGCTGTCAAACGAAAATGGAACATCCATCAATTTGATGTTAATAATGCCTTCTTGCATGGTGATCTCCATGAAGAAGTGTATATGAAACTTCCACCAGGCCATCCTGCTGCTTCTTCTTCATCAATTGTTTGTAAGCTCAAAAAGTCCCTCTATGGATTAAAGCAGGCTTCACGACAGTGGTATGACAAGCTTTCTCATACACTTCTCAACAAAGGGTATCATAAGTCTGCTAATGATTACTCTTTATTTCTAAAATTTACTAATCAGAAGATGGTGGTGATTGCAGTCTATGTTGATGATATTCTCGTTACAGGGAATGATGAGGATGAAATTACAGATATCAAATCTTCTCTTCATACTCAGTTTCAAATCAAGGATTTGGGACAAATTCATTATTTTTTGGGACTTGAATTTAACAAAATATCAAATGGTATGATCGTTCATCAACAAAAATACATAAAGGAACTTATTCAATCATATTCCTTATCTGATTGTACTTCAGTTTCAATGCCTTTACCATCCAAATTGTCATCTTCATCTGCTATGGACATTCCCTTAGAAGATTCCACAATTTATCGACAATTAATTGGAAAGTTGAATTTTTTGGTTCATACCAGACCAGATATTGCTTTCTCAGTACAATATCTCAGTCAATTCAATCAGAAACCATCTCAATTTCATTATGATGCTGCTTTACATGTCCTTCGATATCTCAAAGGCACAATAAACAAAGGCTTGTTTTTCAATGATACCCCTTCATATCAAGTTCAAGCTTTTTGTGATTCAGACTGGGCTGCTTGTCCAATCACAAGAAAATCTGTTAGTGGATTCTTCATTATGTTTGGCGACAGTCCGATATCATAGAAGTCAAAGAAGCAGGTCACAATTTCTCTTTCTTCAGCTGAAGCTGAATATCGCTCAATGCGTCGCATATGTGCAGAACTTGCTTGGTTAAGTCGTTTACTTAGTGAACTTCAAGTTGAAGGTGTCACTCCTATACCTTTGAAATGTGATAATCAAGCTGCTATTTACATAGCAACCAATCCAGTATTCCATGAGAGAACTAAACACATAGAATTGGATTGTCACTATGTTCGTGAAAAGTTACAA